AAGAACGGAAAAGAGCTGCCAAGCGCAGTGGGCAAGGTACAGCAACCGCTTCCAACTGGAAAACCGCCTATGACAACCTCAGAAGGGTCAGAGCACGCGCAGTGAGCCAAAAGGTGTGCTATTGTTGTGGTTCAAACCAACATCACCTGGCTATTTGTCCCAACACTGAGAAGAAGGACGAGTTGATGAACTCATTCTCTCACATGGAGGACACTATGCGCAAGTGCTTCACCGAGGACGACAAGGCAATCATCCGACGTGATGTTGAAAGCCGAAAGAGGAAAGCAAAGTCATCCAAAGACGTCGAAGACGAGGACTACATGGATGTGGATGATGAAGATATTGAACTTCCCGAAGAAGAGCCGGAACTAGGAGGTAAGGTACCACCTCACTCTCCGAGAGCCAAAGGTAGACCACAATCGTCAGACTCTGCAAAAGAGGAATACGCGAAAGCGGTCGAGGCAACCAAGAAGGCCTTTGGGAACGCCAGTTTCGTCACCAGATTCAAAGAGCCCGTCGACCTCTTTGACATTGCCGATGACAAAGAAGGAGGAGAGTACAGGGTCGCAAATCACAGGGTTGATAGATCAGGTCCTAATGGAAAGTGGGAACTTGATGCACTTATTCAGGAGGCTGCAGCACTCGGAATAAAGATGCCCAAAGTGAAGGACCTTGCTCCTGACCCACAACAAGTTCAAAAGGTTGGATATCGGCAGATTGAGGTGACTTGCGATAGAGGAAGCATCGAGATAATTCCACAGTATGGAGTTACATTCTATGTGGAGTACTGGAATGGACCGAAGAGAGATGCAACTTTCACGGATCCACCAAAGATGAACCCAGCAACTCGCATCGACAAGTTCAGCGAGGAGAGTCAGCGGGTCAACGAGGTTAGCCATAGACTCAATAGACTACTCAGGCATGGAGTGGGAAAGCATAATGGGATTCAATCGCACCGCGGTCGAAAACCTCATGTGTCCCCGAAGTGCAATGAGGGTGGATGGGTGAACATCGATGAGATCCTGGAATATGACCATGTCTTCAACGATGGTGTCGATATCAGTACTATCTCAGGTGATCGGCATCGTCAAGATGTCAAGACAGAGCGATACCAGTATTTATGCAAGGCGATGTGGCATGCAAAGAAGTTGCAGAACAGAGTACGCTATCAGATTGCCGCCATTCGTATCTCAAGGGAGGATGTCTCACTCGAAGAGGAAAGGCAATACTGGGCAAACCTCATGTACTACAGCACAGATGCACCGTCATTTCTGAAGCATGAACGTTGGATCGTTCCTTGTGCAATTCGAGCTGTTGCCTCTCACAATTCTGGAAGAGAGACTGTTCTTGAAGAGGATGTGTCAATATATCCTGTGTGGACTTCACATCTCATTCCAGAGAATGTGGCAATGCAGCTTGGAGGAAGCTTTCACATGACATCGCTTTCCAATATTGAGTCAATCATGAAACTAGGAATTGTCCCTGGTGGAACGGAGGGATATAGAGGTAGTGTCTTCTTCAACCACTTTGCGCCGTGGGATGATCGATCATCAAAGATTCTGAGATCAAGATGGCCAAGAGTGGGAATGCCCGTTTGCCTTTATGTTCCAATCATGACTTTGAGGAAGCTTGGGGGAAGAATTTCGGAGAATTCCTACACTGTTGTTTTTAGAGAAGTTCCATGGAGATGTGTACGAGGTGCTTGGTATTGGGACGACTACGTTCAGGCATGGAGGAGACTCCTGCTGGGAAGCACTGGAGAGCAAGTTGTTCTAGCGGCACGTCATGGACTTTGGGTTGCTCAGAAGCATACCATCCTCGAGAGAGCCGACGAAGTCACGAAGTCAGCCTCGGCGACAGATGACAACGTCCAAAAGCTCGTGTCCCTTATCGATGAAGTACAATTCGATGACAATGGAGAGCTGATCGAGGATTCCATCAGTGAGGAAACTTGGGACGAAATCATCTCCAGAACATGTGAAGGGTATCGCAACGTGGATGGCAATACTTTGTGTCCATCATGTATGCATTTGACTTCTTCATCTTTGTCCGTGTGTCTATCTTGTCAAGGCAGGCTACTCTCGTGTGGTATTCGCAACACTGTCATTTCCGATTCACCCGTTGATCTTGTGAGCGACGATGAAGAGGAAAAGAAGGAAAAGAAGGAGCCTGAAGATGATGATCAAGATATATTGGACCAGGCCACTATGGACGAGATCAGAAAGGCTTGGGAAGAAGACATCGCTCAAACTGAAGCAGCTGACGACGACGAGGACATGGACAATCTAGATCCTTCCAAACCGTCTGATGGTGCAGAAAACTTCAAGAGTGACAATGTCGAGACCCCATCTTTCAATGAGGACGAGATCGACTACGGTCGTGATTCTGATCTAGAAGATGAAGACGAACGAAATGTGATCATCGAGATCCAGAGGAGCACACAACAATATGAGGGGAAGAAACGTCAAGATGGTGAACCCGAGGATGAAGACGTCACCGACGACTTACACCCGGAGGCGAATCGACCGACAGATCGTGATGAACCGGGATACTATGCACAGCATGGAGCGACCGAGTTCAATCCCGAAGAAGGAAGAGACAACGAAGATCTCCCCATCTATTGTCGAGTACCGGAACCTCGAATCTATGCGCATCAAGAGAGAGCCTACTGTCAGGACGTCTCCATGAATGCATCGGGTTTGATGGATAGGTATGTGGTCAAATGTGTGCTGAACATGATCTCCCTGATGTACAAGAGCTACTATTGCACCAGCCTTACCGACTTCAAAGCAAATTGGAAAAGGAAGCGACTGGATGTGATAAGCAAGTTCGGTACAGGGGATTCCACTGAAATCGATGACGATGGGAGACCATTGGATCCAACAGATGACATGATGTTAATCTTTGCCAACGACAACAATATTACGACTGAGGAGGCCTGGCACCGATTCAGAGGAGAGCAATTCATTTGCAAGGTGGCACTCGTGATCCTATCATTTGGTCATACTCCGCAATCCTTCAAGAAGGAATATGGCAACTTCGAACACTCCACCGACTTGACTGATGCCCAGCTTGAGGAGTTGAAAGCGAAGAAAGCCAGCGCAATGACTGAATTGGTACAGAAGTGCATCCATGCGATTTATGGGTGTCGGACATATTCTTACTTTAGAACCGACGTTACATCACCCTACCACAAGGTGATCGATCCTCTGGACATCATGTACTCGAGAATGAAGAGCAAGTGGGAGAAGTCTATTCTGTTGATCATTGATCAACATGAGATCAGGTTGCCCCCACAAGCTCAGGAAGTCATAGAGTCAATGGCCAGAAACCCCAACGTTGGACATACAGAGAGATGGATGAGCGTGGTAGAACATAAGCATGTTCAAGCTCTTACCAATCGTCTAGGCTTTGGAGATAGGGCCAAGGAGATTCAGGGCAAGAAGAAGCAGGCAGCCAAGGCGACAGCTAAGTCAACATCAACGACTAAGTCTGAAGCGAAAGCAGCATCTTCGTCAAGAGCTGAGGCAAAGCCAGCATCTACACCCAGAACCGAGGCCAAGCCGTCGTCAGCACCAAGTGAGGAGCCAAAACCTTCAACAGCACCTAAGAGTTTCGGGCCCTCATCAGCAGAGGAGAACAAGGCGAAGGCTGCTCCAAAAGCCAGACCACATGATAAATCACCATCCAGTGCTACCGATGTGTTTGAGCAAGCTTTGCAGGAAGATCTTGCCGCCAACGCACATGCAGCAGAAGGTACAACTTCTTCATCATCCCGAGGACATTCCAAAGGAGGAGGCCAATCTGGAACATCTTGGAGGCCGGCACTAACGCAAGAACGTCGCGAAGTACCTCAACCTTCTGAAAAGGGGAAGGGAAAGAGCAAGTCCAAGGGAAAGTCCAAGAAGGGAGAAGATGATCGGTGGGATGCTCAGGGCAGCTGGGATCATCGTGGATGGAGAGGTTATCGCCAGTGGTGATTTCTTTGAACGACTATGAGGATACCATGCAAACCAGGGAGGAAATCATTCACCGGATGTCTATCTGACCTGAAACGCTGTAAGTGTATCATTGCAAATCATCGGATTGACGATTTGATACCATGAGCATAATGGAAGGCAGACAGTCACCGACTGTCTCTCCGACTTGCCGTTCTGTAAGTGTATCCAAACCAAAACCTACATCTTTTGAGAAGTGTGAAGTCAGTTGCCGATGTGACATCTACGTGGAAGTCACCAGTTCGGATCTACATCAAAGCGATGCTCTTTTGAGTGGATACTGAGCGAGGCCTCGTGACTGTCTCACTTGTTCAATTCGATTTTCATAGGTTCTGAGCCATAGTTGCACACTTTATATGTAAAAGTCCGCTTTAGTCCAGCATGTTTCGTAGTATGAGCCTCGTATGAGTCTCGCGGCAAATCATACAATTTCTTTTGTAGCACTTACATCCCTAAATTTTCGTGTGTGATCGGAACATATTGTTGCCGTTCACATGGGGGGTGCGAATGGAAGTGCAGCGACACGTACAGTGCAACTTGTACATATATATGTACCATATGTACTTTGGCTCAAGGATCAAGCGACTAGAAAAGGTGCGGTTTCCGTTCCGACGCTACGCCGCTTATGGACCGTCAGTGATAGCTTCAAACTTCGCTGATTAAGATCCACTCGCATATTTGATTATCTTCCAACTAAGAAGGAGTTCCACATTGGCGGGGTGAATTCCCTGATCCGGTCCAGTGGGAGGATTTTTTGCAATCTCCTCGGCCCCTTCCAATCACCAGAATATACCAGAATTCCTGGAATGTGCCGCCTTTGTCATCATCGGACATCCTCGCAAAACAGATTCGCCGCTTCCCTTGTTCTGAAAAACATGACTATATAAATCTATGCATTTGTCAGCAGTCTATCTTTGGACACTCTTTGTCAGCAAAAACAACACCTTGCAGATGTTTTTTGTGTTGTCGAACTGTTCGATCTGTTGGATTTGGTGCCTGCAGGTCGTGGTGATCACCATTGTCACCGCTCCAGGGCGCTTCTCTTGTCCAAATGACTGCTCCTTGAGCTCAAAGGACCTTTTATGGGGATTTGCGGCAAAAGGCATGTTCTTTCATGTTCTTTCTGAGTGGGATGGGTTACACACACGTCAATTTGTTTCCCACTTTGAATGGAGCTTTTGCATTGTGCCCACCGTGATTGAGTTATTTCGTTTCTCCGGTGGCAGGATGCGCTTTCCAAGCAGCGTTTGCTGGTTGCTAAGTTGTAGTTCAAGCAAATCTGAGATGTCTTGCAAGAGCCTTTTGAAGTTGCTGCCCATGCACATCAACGCTCCGCGCTGCTCATTTTTTTCACCGTAGGCTATTATTGCCCGGACGAGCCCGGACAGCCACGAAGCTACCTGAGTACCGAACCTGCCCCTTGGCTGCTCACATATTTGCATCTAAAGCAAGACAGGTTCCCACCTCTTTTTACTGTAATGTGTTTTCCAATAGCTTCAATGCCGCTCTGAACTGAACTGAGGATCGACTTATCCAGGGCTTTGCTTTGAAACAGAAAAGCCTCGAAGAGTCCTCTAGACATGGTCCCGAGATTCCTACGGTCGGACCTTTCGATGGAAAATGGAAAACGGACAGGTCCGACGGACTGCCAAGGCAGTGGCCCGAGCCAACCAGAATGAGTTCGACCCAGTCAGGTGCCGTGACTGCCGTGGATTTGGGTGTGTTCCCTTCCAAAATTCCAGAGGTTTTGCGAAGGTTTCTGCGTGGGACGTCCCGTTGGATCCTTTTCTTGGAATGTGGGTTGTTTTGCTGGTTTCTGTAATAAAATTAAGATAGATTAAAATTAAGCATGGAACCCAGGGTCGATTGGACTATGACTATGAGCTTGCGCAGGAGTTTGTCTTTTTTGCCAGAAATTGCCCACGCCAAAATGTAGTTTGTATCACTCCAACCATCTTCCTGAAAAACTGGTGCCTAACAATGCTTGGGGTTAGGCCAGTGGCCATTCTTAAAGGTTTGTTGCACTTGGTGAATATATATATAATATATATATATATACTTTTACCCTTGCTCAGAGGTGGGTACCATTGTTGTGTGCGTAGCTTCATCCACGCCACCACAAAAACGGACTGCCATCCTATTCATATCATGGAATTCAATCTGACCTTCAAATGCCAGGACATTCAAAGAGACTTTTTGAGACCCCAGAATGTTAACACTTAATTAACGTAACTTCGGCCTGTGATGTCAACTCAGGATTAATACACCTCCCCTAAGTTAGAGCGAGCCCATACGGCCCCGGAAAATGTTTCGAATTAAAAGTATGATTGGTGGCGAATTGTCCACTGAATAAGGCTGTTGGGTGCGAGACACCCCCGTTTATCCACCACACCATCCAGTCAATAAAACTAAGGGAGGGTTATCAATCATGGTGCAACCACCATCATGCTGCTCATTTTTTGCAACTCATCAATGAGGTCTTTGCTCACGGCTTAGCCTTCCTGATACTTTGCTCAAATGGCCTCATGCTCATCAGCTCATCCCCTCTCAAACTTTGGTATCAACATGTATCAACCTTCATGGTTATTCAGGGGGAGTGGACCTCATGAACGGTACTGTACCTCAGACGCCTCAGACCTTGTTGATTTCAGGGGGTTATTTATACAGTCTTCACGTTAAAAGGTGACTTATATAGAGACTTCAAAGAGGTCACGAACTGAATTTCCTGAGTCCTGGTGCTGCAACTTCATATGAAATCCTCAGATTCGATTCCCTTGGCTTTCTGTGAAAACACCCAACCTCCGGCGCTGCTCTCGAGCAGCACCAGGCAGTTCTACGACCGAGCGGGCACTCTCGCGAAGCAGGGTCATACTGTGGAGCTTTGGCGGAGCAGCAGAGCGAAACGGGTAGGGAAGGAATGTCAAAAGCAAAGAGACCAGCGACGTCGGCCGAACTATGGCCTATGATGTAGACCGAGGGGGGGAAGGGATGGTTTTGAGCAAAAACACATATAGAAGCAGCCTAGCAGATATAGAGCATCTTTTGGGTATGATTAGTATTGCACGCAAGTATGACCAAGGTATTTGGTGGGACAGTTGTAAAATTAGAGTGTGTTTGTATCCTAAATGGATCTAAATGGAAACTAAGGACCTAGTCTATACACCCATGCACACAGAATTTGAAGAAGCTATACACCCATGCACACAGAATTTGAAGAAGCTATACAGTGCAATACAGTAAAGGAATGAGTGAAACCAATGAATTACGCCACCAAGCAACATGTGAAATGTGAAATACGCCACCAATGGATTGTTGGTCACGCTGTGTTGGCCTCGTTTGTTGCCACTTCGGGATCGTCATCCCCTTTTCGAGGACAAGGTGGAGATCATCGTCCTTGGTGGTACTTGGTCTCACTATCCACGGGATTACCAGGAGAGCGCGGCCGAGGGCGATGGCGGAGTGGCTGAGCGTTTCGGGATAAAGTTTCCGTTTTGCCTTTTGCCATGTCAGTTCATTTTCAGATGTGCTTTCTCCTTTAGTATTGACTGTATGACTGCATGCTTTGATTTGCTGTAGCTATGCGATGCTCACTGGGTTGTGAATGGTGACAGTATAGTTCTCAGACATATGTCACTGTCACTTGTCTGGATAGAAGGAAGGTATGGATAGAGGCAGGTTGAAGTCACACTCAGAATCGTGATGAGCCTTCTTTTGGTCCTGGCCCATACTGCAAACAAATCCAGGTGGCGAAATCTCCCTCTGCCGAGGAGGAGTTCTGCAGAGATCTCTTCTATGCGGCGAACACCTTTGACGAAGACCTCAGCAAGCTGGGTGAGACTTGGCACCGTGACTCGCGACCGAGGCTACTCCAATTCCATCCGAATCATGTGGGATGAGAGTCCCGATGTTCGCCACAAGAAGAGGGACCTGTTGATGTGTTGGGTGTTTGTTGCAACTGCGATTTTGTTCTGCCAAGAAACGTCTTGGACAGTCCAAAAAGTGGGTGGCGACCAGAAATGCACGGAGGCTGGCCATCACTGGATAGATTCGGTAGTCGTCTCAGGCTGGGAAGGATATTGTCGTCAGCTTAGCTTTGGATCCATTGACTCAAATTGTTTATGAGTCTATGGGCGGTATTTGGCTTTGGGTAAAGACACGTCCAGCAGTTTCATGTCGGAATGGTTTGGTTCGTCCCATCCAGTGAGCGGAGAGGGGAGCCACATGGGGCCACCCTACCCTCCAAGTTCGGCACCCAACTCCATGGAACTGCCAGCACCCCACCTGCCACTTGTAAGTCTCCATTTCAGCCTCCATCTTGGAGACCTGGAGGTTCATGGATGTTTATGGTCAACCTTCGGTTCGGGATCCACCAGAATCCACCGGGTCGGTCTTTGGTGAGTGGGTCGGTGTGTCTGATGGGGAGCGACCCAAGGAGCGAGGTGAGAAGGCCGCACGAGGACGTGAGCGGCATTCCCTGTGTCCGGGCCGAGTGGGTCGTGGGTCCCGGTGGGTCGTGGGGCCTTGGAGGCGGTTGATCGATATTGATCGTTGAAGCGAAGAATCTTCAATTATATACACAACTATAGCTGCATGGTGGTTAAACTAGGAAGTGATTTGAAGGCTAGGGAACCGAGGAGCTACAGGGAGTTCCCTAACCACTGCTAGCTAAGTAATGTTGTTTGGTTTAACGATGCCTTGATGATGGAGTTCTGGTTGCGATGGGCCAATTTGTGACAGGAAACACATCTGGTGCATTACGTTGGCTGCAATGTCGTGCCAGGTTTTTAGGCAGCAAATCATGAGAATCGCGGCTTCCAACAATCACCCCATCGGCACCTGAAGATTCTTCAAGTCAATGAATCACCCCATATATATACACTTGGCTGCTACAGCAGGAGACTTCTGTTGCACGTCAACATGTCAAGGACTGTGCGGATTGTGAATCCCACCAAGCACCCTGAAAAGAGGATCTCCAGATTCCAATTGTCCAGTTTACACTTGTTCTAGTTGACACTTCCCATGTCCAGTTTCTTCCCCGGTCGTGTTCCGGAACAAACGTCGATTCCTCACGTTGTTCTCGAACGACCTCGACGTCCCGTCAGTCCGCCGAGACTCGCACCCCGAGGCTTCAGGAGCAGCGGCTGAACGAGGTGCGAGGGATGCAAAGTGAAAGAACACGTTTTGCGATGAACAAGGGAAGGTGCCACCAGATTCTGTGTTGTTGTTGTTGTTGTTGTTGTTGTTGTTTCTATTCCACCAACGCGACGTGGTTCTTGCCCTATAGTTTGCAAACAACCACTGGTAGCTTCCAAATCGGCCATGACCAACGACGAGGTCCTCCCTTTTCTAGGAGACCCCTCTTCCAAGCGCACCAGAAGGATGATTAAATGACAAGATCCGCATGATGAGAATGCGCATGATGACCGTCCTAGTAGATTGTTCAAAGAGGTGTTTGCTGACAGGAAGATCTAGCACCTGAACATACCTGAATCATTTTAATGGAGTGAGTTGGAAGTAGGACATGTTTATGTTTGATTCCCAAAAGCTTAGAGACTCTCCAACCACTGCCGACCCCAAGTCTCTATTCGAGACCCTCCAGCAAAAACCAGACACAGGCGCCGTAAGTCTTTATTCAAGTCTCTAAGGCTACAAGCATACGTGAGCAAGCCTCCAATTTGATTTATTGCAAACCCAAACCAAGCCAGTTAACCTATGACTCTAAAGAAAACAGGGGCCAACGGGGACCTGCTCGGCTAATCAACTGGATCTTCACCTTCCGCGGTCAGACCGCAGTGACGAAGATCATCGGCTTGACCTTGGAAACTCGAGCAAAGTTCAGCCGCTGGAAACGCGGTTTTCCCGGTTTTCCCCATGGTTTTCTATGCGCATGAGTCATGAGAAAGTGAATAGGCACATTTAGGCACCAAGGAGGAAACGGACAATTAACATAGATCATGAGTCAGGAAAAGGAAGTCCACACGGCGGTCCTGTTGGGAGTTTGGAAGCTAATTCAATTGAGTGTTGACTATTTTTGTGTGAAAACAGGTTCCCGGAGTTTAGAGATCTTGTTCAAGGGTGTATATAATTGATGGAAGACACACTCGGGTATGACTCTGGAGATGATTGGAGATGTGCATTTTGTTGCGAAATGTTAAGAATCATGTTGCATTTCAAGCTCCTTTTGCAGAACTCCATCAGAACTCCTAGTTTTTGTTGATTTACCTGGAAGGTAAATAGTCTACTGCAAGTTGTGTTCGCTTGGATGTGCACTCTCAAGGGGAATTTGGATTGTTGTAAAAGTATGGTTCCACATCCACACTGCTTGAACTGGGTTTGTGCCGTTTGCTTGGAAGCTTCTTGAATCAATTAGAGGTGTCAAGGGGATCTAGTCCGACATCCCTCGTAATCCGGGTCGCCTTTCCGGAGCAGCTGGGTCGACCACAAGAGCAGCTGGGGCACCACTCGCTGCCGCCTGCAAGGGAAGGAGGCTGAAACCATTCGAAACCCTCTAAATGGTAGCAATGGGCACTTGTTGTTTCAGGTATATAGTCATGCCACGCACCCTCCCACCCTCAAGAAAGATACCACTCATTTTTGACCACTCATTGTTTAATGGAGTTTATGTAGACAATAATACAATCAGGAAACTAATCCTCAAACATCCTAAGACAAGATGTGGAAGGTCCAGGCCAACAAGGGCGCCAGTTCACGGCGCCGAAGTCGGCCGAAGTTTCAGTACGATGTCCAATAATGAAAGAACTCAAAAGATTAGTCAATCTCCAAGCCATGCCATCCAACAGGTTCATACAGATTCCTTATATATGTTGACCCATCCCTTTGAATACGGCAATTGACTAGCCTCCCACAAGACCCAAAGTAGAAACTGCCCAATTTCAAACCAGAACACTTCTGAGAACAAATGAGAAAATGAAGCATCTTGCCAAGCACATTCTGGAATTTCCTTGCTTCTTTTTGCAGATTTTTGCAGAAGTCCATCCATTCATGTTTGGCCCGTCCCCAAGGAGACCAGGCCAGACCACATCAGCCCCGCGGAGATCCGGCGACTCCGCAGGCGAGCGTCGGTACACCAACAAACGGGGCCCGAAAGGTGACGCGTGGGGCCTTGTTTCAATCGGCCCGTGTGTGCAGTAACAAGGGCATTACTAGTAGCTAGAAGCTACTAGTAAGAGAGCTTACTAGTATGCAAAGAGTGCAAATGTGTGTAATTTTTGTTCATATTGTTTAATAGGGAGGTCTCCGTCTCCAATGAGTTTAGGTCTATCTTCCGAGCCTTCCTGAGGGTCGACCTCGGGGATCTCCGTGTTTACGCGTGTTTAATACGGAGTCATGACATGTACAGTCATACAGACCTGCCGATATGTCGTTTTCAAAGACATGTGACATGACTGGAGAAGTCTCATATTCGGTGGTCAAAACATGCTAGTCATTGTGCTGCCGTGGTTCGCTCTTCAAGGTTCCCTATCGCTCCACACAGTCCCACTCAAGAAACCCTACAATCTCTCAACCCTCAAGATTCCTTGTGGTTCCTCTTAGAAGCTCCCACATCTACATTAAGCGTTCCATCAAGAAGGATGAGGACCTTGATATGTGATATTGAGGAACATCAGCCCTACTCGCGCCATGAAATTCTGAAAGGAATTCCCTAGCACGGCTATTGGGGAACATGTGATCCGTCCTGGTGCGCCCTTGGGAGAACGACCTGACATGGGTCATTCTCCCAATGATCATCACTCAGACACAGACAGTCTTAGAGCTTTGTGTTGCATATGTGTTCCTGCTGGGGAAATGTCATGCCATATGCCCAATGCACACACCGAACATCTAGGAACATCTAGGAACCACACGACGCGTCCAGTAGCGAGCATGAGAAATCCTGCGTCACGCACGCAGAGACATGTTCAGCGACTTGACAGTCACCCGACGGGCATCGCCGCCCGAAGGTATGGATGCACACGAGTGCAGATCGGTGTCCAGCACACGGACGACGAAATCCTCAAGTGCCTTGGGCGACACTAGCTTTGCTTTGCTTTCCCTAAATCTGGCATTTCACAGACATCCTGAATTGGTAGTGCAATGTTTGGCAGTTGTTTCTGTGCGCCCATTTTCAGATCATTGCAGGATTGCAGTGTGCGGTGTTTCTTTCGACTTTCGACCTGTTGGTTCGAACTAGTGCGGTCGTCCCACTCCAGAGACCTTTGTCCAGCGGTACCGAAAGCGCTTTTCCTGTTGGTCGACTCCTCAGATACATCAACCGTGGTCATGATCGAGCTGCTGCTGCTTGGATTGCACTTTGCCGCTCATGGCGGGAGGTGTTCGGTTCCTCCCACTAGACTTTTCAAGCGGGGTAATAGTGGGAGCCTCTTTCCACTACACTCCCTGAAACAATATACTGTAATGAAAATGGAACGTGGGCCTGGAAGACCATTTTGTTTTTGTAAACGGGGGGTGATGAAGGCCATCCAATGGCGTTGCCATTTCCAGGTGCACAGTCCACAGTCCAAAAGCCCTCAGGTCAGTATTCGTAAAACCATCGGACGGTGGGAGCTCGCGTGCGTCAGCACGACTGCTCGCGACTGCTTCCGCCGATGGCAGGCCGTGAAGGCCACGAGGCTTTTGAAGATGTGTGGCTTCAAGGTGGACATTCATTTGATGTGCCTTGGACATTTCAAGCGGAGAGAACCGCGCAAGGTGGAGGTTTTGATCGCGAGATGCAGAGATGGGTTGAAAAACAAAACAACATGGTCAGTGCTTGGGATGCAACAGGAGTTCCAAAAGGTTGCTTGGAGAGGCCCTGGGGTTCTTTTAATGTCCTTCTCCAATTACTCAAATGTCTCCACTGAACTCTATGGAACTCCTGGTACTGGAAAGACTACGAACTGCATTTTGGATTCAGTTGAACAACTCGGTCTCTTCGGTTGTATCATATTGTACCTCGAGGATGTTCAAAGCCTCCATGCTGAACTCTGCCAACTCGCTCGCTCGACGGCCTAGGCCTGATCTACCGAACTCTGACACAGAGAAGCTGGGCCAAGTGTTTGGGTGGATCTCAGAAGTGGTACTTCTGCCAGAAAACCCGAGTGGTGGTTTACATGAGGTTTGGCCCAACGAATATGTTGCATGTTGAGCTAAAAAGCTGGGACAGCCAATGACAGGCAACATGTTATCTTTTTGTGGGATCACTACACAGTAATGTAACGAAATAGAGGCTTGAGTACAGCTTCCATGATGAAGTTCAGTTTTGTTTTGATCCGTTGCGGTGGCAAAGCTTCAGAGCTACTTGAGCAACTAAATATATATGTATATTAATCAAACTTGGGAAGGTCTCAGGCGAGAAGCGTTGCGAGTTGCGAGCCTCATTGGCCACCCAAACTTGATTCTCTAATGTCATGCTCATGACAAATATTTTTCCTGTCCAAGACTTACTTTCCCTTTTCTGAATTGATCCAAACCAATCCAGTCATTCACATTTCATTTCCCTGGTCTTTCCTGGGATTTTTTCATTGACCCATGGTGACAACCATCGGATACTGCCCACTGCTCCGCAGTGCACTGAGGAAGGACTGGGCGATGTTTCAGGATGTGTCTCGTCACTTTTTGAGTGGGACAAGTGTGCTGGAGAACAGCACATTGTTGCTTGGACAAACAGCTGGTGACCACGGAATGTAGTTTCTTTCACCGGCAAGACCAGGGAGATGTTGGCAGGTGTAAACATGACCATGCCGATCCGAATGTGGGGACTGGCGTAAGCCTAGATCACACCAGAGAGAGCTTCCCTGGCCACCTTTCATCATCCGCGTGGTCTTCTGGATTTTGAGACACAACTAGGACTAGAACTCTCAAAGGGCTAGAGGTTGCCTTCGTTTAATTCACCCTAGCTTCTTCTCGCGTCTTAATCCGTGAAGTCGCTGGTGTTCTCTCGTGCAGTCGCTGCATGTTTGTTGTTCATATCGTTCTTGTACCTATCTATCCCTCGCGGGAGACGAGTCCGCCAGTTATGTGTGTGAGACTCCAAAGCATTTTGTGTTATGGCCGCTGGGGCGTTCAGCCCGACGCTCATGTGCTTTGCACATGCTTTTCTTTGGACCAGGTGCTTCATGGAGATGAACTTCAGGCCGATCATTGGAAGATCTACCCCTGTGCCCCTTGGAAAACACACAATCCGAAGGGTGCCAACACCCGTGGGCGTGGGAATTTGATGCAGCTCCACCAGATCGACCATCGACCCCAAACGCGAAGAGAGAAGCCTTTGGAAATTGTTTTTTTTTGGGATGTTTGTAAGCCCAATTACAGCTCTTCAAGGGTTCCAGCAAACCATGGGCACCTTGTGGATGCTTTGATATCTTTGATCCACCTTGCCGTATTTGAGGGTTTGGTCCGTTCACAGCAGGGCATCTCTATGATCTGGATGAATCTCAGAGTAGGGAATGGTGTTGTTCGTTTCAAAATGCCCCAAGGCGTGCTGTCTCAAACATCGGCAGATGTATGTACTGCTTGCCTTCGGAATGGTCGTTCAACTTCATTTGCGGCATCACCCATTCTCAACTCTTGAAGATCCAGGCATGGGTAGCAGGTAGCACAACTTACCACTAGATTTGACATGATTTGACGACCTGATGATGAGCCTTCTATGTTTCCTTCTAGTTTCAGGGTTGTTAAGAGGGTGCTCCCTTTTCGAGGCACACCGCACGCGCCGCACACCGGTTACCATGTAGCAGCTACGGTGCACCACTGGTGAGTAGACTTATTCCTAGTGGTGGACAATGGCTCTCCATTCCAAGTGACTCATGCCGCACGACGGTGGAATGACGGCACGACCACCCTCAGGAGGTGACTCCTTTCACCCGGATCGAGCACCTTGGAGAAAGCTGATGGGAAAGATCAGCTTCAGCAGTCGCAGTTTTCGGGATGAAGATGGGTGAACATTCTTCAGACATCTTCAGACGCTTGTTGTACTTGATGATGTTCCGCTCACTGGCTGAAATCATGATGGGTAGGGTACTAGAAGGCAGAGGATCTTGATGTGCTTTGGATTTATTTATGTTTGGGTTTGACACAATGAGGAAAACACAATGGCATCCTGCCAGCTGGCGAGGCGGTCAAGTCCCCTCTCGTTTGCACTCGCAGCGGATGTATTGATATGCATGAGTCATGAGTCTTAGGGAAGGAAACACAACATCACATGTGTTTTTGTCTAAATGGATGCACGACTATGCTTTCGAAGTCCTAACCACTGTTTGGCCTGCATCATTCATGTGGACAATATCAGCCGAGTGGAGCCAGCTTTGTAAAGCTTGTTCCGACTCTGGGGATGTGTCAAATACATACATTACATGTGTAATTACCAGAGTTACCAAAAGACCAGATGCTAGTACAGGCAGCATTGCCAAGAACTATGTTCACCTAGCAGCTATGGTTGGAGCCACAGGCCACAGGCACTCACAAAGGCGGGACATTTTCGATCACGATCAGGCAAAAGACGGCAAAAGATTGAAATCATCACCTGGACCATACCTACCTGGGGCTGGGAGGGAAATCTTTGAGAAGCCAGATCCTTGGGTTTTTTGTGTGCTGATTTTTGTTCTTAAGGACCTGGTACAAGGAGGGGAAGTACATTCCCTACACGGAGAAGGACCCCAAGCTCCTCACCGAGCTATTGGCTCGCGTCAAGGCAGTTGCCAGTTGCTCGAGTTTCCGACTGACGCAGACACAGAAAGCACGGGTATAGTATAGCAGATAATGATTATTGTAGTCAGCCATAGTCATCCAATGGATGAAATGCGGATAAATCATGTGCATTGGACATCATCAAGTTTTTATTAATACGCCAAGCGGGTTCCGTTTGCAAGGAAAACATGGAATGGATTGCAATCAACTGTGGCCTTGAACCTTTCCTCACTAGTATGGAAGTGGACAGCACCCTGCTTCTAGAGGAAGATTGTTTTTCCAGGGTTCATTTCTGGCTTACATCTTAGTGAGTCAGGGTTATGCAATTTTGCCTTGTCCACCTGCATGAATCCTGTCAGGCACAGGTTCATCCCTGGATCAGATTGAATCGCAACTGGGCGTCATATATATATATATATATTGTTGTTTTGTTGCGTCGTTACATCGTTATTCTTAGCATGGCAACTGAGTACTATTTGCAATGGAACAAGAAGGTCCAGGTGTAGAATAACCCAAACCAGCAAACTAGAATCTCTGATTTTTGGAACAAGCTCAGCTCCCAGCTGCTTCTCCCAGTGTACTAGCAACGATGTGCCGCTGTGATCCAATGTCCAGTCTTCCAGTCTTCGTACCATCGTTCCCTTGCGGCTGATCCAGTGGATTGAGTACTTCCAATCTAAGATGACACCCTGTGGATCTAAGGTGGAAGTGGATGACACCCATGGATTGGGTACTTCCAAAACTTCGTACCATCATTCCCTTTTATGCATTTCTTCAAGTTTTGGATCTAAGGTGTCATCCGTGACATCCCCGAGGCGCGACCCCAGTCGGCATTCTGCCAACCTGCGACCCCAGTCAGCTGATCGACGATTTTCTTGTGCCCTCGCATTTGTTTGGTAACGGATGCTTTTGTGTGTGTGAATCGAACTAATATGACCCTCTCTTTCTGACTATCTCTCCCTCTCTCGATATATGACATATTGCAATCATCGTCCCAGAATAACCTAAACCTGTCGTTGTTCAGGGCATTTCTGTTCTTTGCTCTTCCACATCATGCTTGCTTTCTGCGACCACACGACGCCAGGGCGCCGCGGCGCGTCCCTCTTCCGTCCCTCTAGACCGTCCAAAACGGGACGTCGTGACAGGTGTCAATTGTGGCTGGAAATGCCCTGACGAATCTGCGGCAGGCCATCTTTGCCCCTCGGCACCGAAGACGTCACATGATGCGGCACGTTCCATGTTCTCGTATGTTCGACGAGCTGGTTTATTGGTCGTCCAAATACAGCTTAGGCTAATGACTGATTGCATTTAGTTTTATTAAGATTTATTAAGACATGTACTCTTGAAATCCGTTTGATGCAGTTATGGTCCATTACCATGTCCACGCTGATGCTCTTCGTCACCCGTTTAGGGCGCTTGGATGTTTCTTGCACCCTCCGAGGAAGTCCTGAAGTCTCGCGGGCAGTCCTGCCGATGCATTCGCTGCCGAGAGGCCTGACACTGGACGAGACCTGGGGTTGGACAAGACCTCCATAGCCAAACGAGAAAACGCATGGAACCATATATATACCCCTAGAGTATGCTATAAAATTTAGCATGGATATTCAACTGTTATGGGTACGTGCGGTATGAACACCACTGCTAATGCACAGATGGGCATTTGCAGTCATTTGAGGTGCGGGATTGGCCTGAGACCGCCGAGGGTCTTCGCCTCAAGGTGCAGCCGAGCGACCGGTGGATGAGGTGAAGCTAAGTGAGAGCGGAAGATAGTTCATCCAGTTTGGTCCCCATTTGAATCAGTGGGGAGGCTGGAGAGGCTGTTCTTTTTTGACCAATCACCCCGGCCTGCTTTTGTTGGTGGCACCGGAGAGATTGGGATCAAGAAGGAGATCATATTTGCCATATTCTTATTGACACTTGTAGGAATGCAAGCTTTGTTCGATCTGTTTCTCTTTGCGCCTAGGTGCGGGAGTATAGATCATCAGGCTGCTTGGTGACGGAGTTTGATTGTCCGGCAAACATGAAATTATTGGCTCTAGTGGGCTTTCTATCCATGGTTGTAGGAGAAAGTTAAGAGGGGCATGTCAAGTCCACACCATTGAGCTTTGAGAGTTACTTCACTTCGGAATCTCAGGGCCAAGACTGAACTGAAAAGAGGTGGTTTGAGCAATGAGAACCTCCGCAAGTCTTAAGGAAGATATGTGTATATCAAAACCGGACCCAAGTTTTGAAGACATAAGCTGGTTGACGCAGACCGCATATGATTTGCTTGGGAGAGTTTAGTACTTCACGTGCTTATGGTCATCCCGATTGATACAGGAGGTGTCGCATCCTCAATCGTACCAACTGGCCCCTCGCATTCATGTCAATACAGTATTACAGGCTTCTTCTGTAGGCAGTAATGAGAAAATTGATGAACATATGTATATGCCAGCACATAGATTGTACCCCGGTCAGCCCCAGTCAATCCGTTTCGGTCAGTAGAGCAATCCTGAAGGATTCCACGGTGGGATCGCATTCTTAGCTTTGCCAGTCGTTTCTAATTATAAGTTCGGAGCCGGAAGTAGAACTTTATAGGCGGGAGTGAAAGCGTGCTATACAAGCCCACCGAAAGAAAAACATCGGCCACGCAAACGGGTCAACTTTCCACCTTCCAGAGGTTCCAAAGATGTGGTGTTTGAGCTTTGGTCCAATGACTTTTTTCTTTTTTCTGAGATTTCAACTTTGGAGTCAACTGCAGGCTTGCCTTTTGGTCTCCGAGGCGGCTGGGAGTACTTCATTTCCATCGAGGGCGGCCATCGTGGCTTCGGTGGCGGCGCCACCCAGCGTGCGCTGGCTGGTGGGCAGAAGGCCACAAAGAAGGAGAAGAACCAGCGGAAGGCCCTGTCGGTATCGTTCGGGGCGATGTCCTTCGAGGTGACCCCATTAAAGACATTCTGAAAGGGGTGGTCTTATTTATCAATAGTCTACATAAAGTTATTTTCCAACCTATTGCTACGGGCAATCGGTGGACCATCGTTTTTGAGGCCTTGCATAGCCATGCCATCCTTGGGGTGTGAACCGAGGGAGTGGTGGGGGCTCTTTAGCTTGAAAGTGAGATAGAGAGAGGAGATACGGCACCGAAAGCGGAGAGTTTGGTAGGGAGAATCAGTTGGGTTGGGTTGTGGGACAATCCTGATGATTGAGCCTTCCCTTCAGAAGCTGCAATGGCGATATGATGCGATATGCAAATCTGAAGCTGGGGGAATTCAATCGAGAGCAATGAAGCTTTCTTCTAGGTGACGTTGGGCCTGTTCCAAATACGCGCTTTGAGGGTAAAAAGACAATGAAGCCGAAAGATGCGCGGATAGAAGTCACCTTTGCTCTACGGATGGCTCAGGCGGCACTTCGGGATTCTGCCGCACAGGCGGACATGAAGGCGATGCTTGGGTTACTCATGAAATTATGCATGGCATATTTGCATATTGTTGTTGTTAGTCAAACATGAGGGCAATGTTTTGTTGTTATTGTCCTTTCTTTATGTGTGTTTTGTTTTCAACATATTTGTTCACCCTTTCCATCTCTTTGTTTGCGTTTGTCTCCTGAGTGTGGACCTGGTCGAGCAGATTCAACATTCCAACCTACAAATGGGATGGCTCGACTTTGAAGTGAAGAGTGCCCGCATCATCATATCACACCCAAGGATTTACAGAGGGTGTATGCATGGATCAGGTGCAGTGGCCACATTTTTGTGGAATAGTTTGATGACCTCACGTGGAGAAGCGTATATATATATATATAACTGTTCTTTCTTTGACAGAGAGGTTCCCTTATGCCAGCAGGGTGGTATTTGTTGAGCAGATCTATGGGATGTGGACAAGCTGCTACCAATCGTCTCCAAAGCAAGCGTGGAAACCCTGACAGCAACCACTTGGTAATGACTGGACTTAGCCTTCTCAATCCCTCTATTTACCTGGGGGAATGCTAGTGGTAGTGCTAGTGGTTTGAGTCGTCCCCCAATGCTTTGGGGTTAGCGCAGACGTACTTAAACCAGGCCGCCCAAACCACCCAACCCGTCGCCAGGCGGCAGCCATGGCCAGTGCCAATCTCAGCCGTGAGGACGTTATTGACTGTGGTTGAAGATGAAGAACGTATAATCTTCAGAACTGAAGTGTCCATCACACTAGCCTGAAACATAAAGCATCGTACCTTCCAAACAATACATTGATCACATGTATGTAGCTGATATATACTTTGTTTGTGATTGTTCAGAATCTCAGAACACATTGGACCCTCAGGGCCTTGATTCCCTGTGTTTGGGGTGGCTCATGCATTCTGAGAGGAGCGGAAGCGGGCTGCAGCTGAAGCACTGGCAAAGCACCGGGAAGAGCTGCCCTCAGCCGCAGCCACGGAGGAGAATGGTATCATTTGTGTGGAAGTGTGAGAAGATGGAGAGAGGCCTTCAAGCCTCCAAGCAGCCAGCCTCAAAGGCCAGTCGGTTTGCAACCATTGGTTCTCAACCATTGATGTTTAACAAGTTTTTTTGTTTCAAGTCCGTTTCCCTTCTCCCAATGTAAGGAGAAACTCATAGGTGAGTGGTGGGCTTGACTATTGGTTATGGACAGGTTGAGGGGTACATCCGTTGATGGTTTCGACTATCAACCTCCAAGTTGAGGTCAGGGACACCATCCTGCACCAAACCGAAAGAGCTTGTTCATAGCATGGGAGGCACAAAACTACTCCAAGAAACTGATGTGAGATATCATTCATGTTCCATCACATTCTGCCAAAGTATTACAAAGTTTCACAGGCAGCCCATAACGGTTTACCCAAGGGTGTTTCTAAAGAGCTCAGAAGAAGTGTCATGGAAAAAAAGGCCTGGCACCTTAAGGGAAAAAGAACAATTGCCACTGGCCAGAAAAAAACGTGAAGAACTCTTGAATGAGTGTCATCACATGTCATCGACATGTTCTATATATGTTTACCTGTGAAATCCAGCCGTTGACGCGAAGCAGTTTGGTCGCCGTTTCGGCTGGGGAGCCGCCGTTGCAGGAGCCCAGCCTTGAGGATGATGATAATGCGACCTTGTTCCTTGGAAAGCAGTGAACGTTCGGCCGTGAAAAGCATCCCCAAATGGGAGGTATAGGAATTCAACATCCAATTAACGAAGATCCTCGAACATTCGTGGGCATTTGCTCACTCAATTGCAAAGAGAGGGAGCAGGTGTCATTGCAGGGGTTTCATATATCAAAACTGTTTGGCGGAAGTTAGAAACACGATGAAACACGACCGTTCGCCCAAACAGACAGAAATTCTGTCTTCTTTGCTTCGCAGAAGCTTTCCACGTCGCGATGGTATGGACTTCAGCCAGGTATGGACTTCTGCGGCTGCGCTTCAACGATGACACCAAGGCTCCAAGCCCGATCTTCCCAGAGTCCTGGCTGAGGATCACAGGTGGCCAGAGTTGATTCCCCACTGGCCAGAGTGAGCCAGAGTGAGCTGTGAGCTGTTGGGGCGGGTAGATGGATGTTTGGATTTGATTTGGCTGTGGGTGGGTAGATTCCATATAAATCCATAAGTAAATCCATATATATATATATATGTATATGTATATATAATAGGGGCAGTGGCTATGGTCCTATGGTGATTATATCAATGCCCCTTCAGAATCTTCAGAATGCATGTCTTTATATCATGATCAACTCAGCATGTGCGGCTGGACGTTGGCTTACATGGCTTGAGATTGAGGGAGGTTCAATTGCACTCCTGCGATGAGAAGCCCGTAATTGTTTGTTAAATATCAAGAGAAACCGCCCTAACCTGCTTTGAGCCTTCCTCTAGACTTGATAGTCATGCTTGGCTTTGCTTCACTTGGTTTTCTATGGTTTTCTTGGAGTTGTTCCCACCAAGGAGCTCAATGGCTGTGCCCTGATCCGCGAGCTGCACGTGTATGGCACCTTAGTTGCCGCCGGCCGCGAGAAGAAGGGCAACGACGATGAACGACCGCAGCACATTGGACCTTCGGCTCATTCAGCGTGCGGCCGCGCGCTGCGCGCCTCACATGGAGCGTGTGGAGTCTGTGGACATCAGAGGCACCACAACACTTGGACCAAGAAAAACCGTTATGATGGGTATCCGACCATGTTGATCTATGTTGAACGTCTAAACATCCGCACTGCCCAGGCATCGGTAAGACTTTGATGGGCACAGCAGAGTTGATCGCCGCTGCACACAACTTCCGCAAGATCTCAGTGATCGCAGGGGTAGGCGGGTGGTTTTTTGCCGGACTCGCACTCACACCAAACAGATGTGAATGGTTTCCTGAACTGAGACACCCTTACAGTTTCCTCAAAGTGTATTGGGAAAAGGTATCTCACACTTTGGGCATCAAAACGGCCTTTCGAATTCATGTACAGTAGAAGGCTTTTACGCCCACTGGGAACCCTGAACAAAAAAAAGGAAGAAACACGGCAGCCACGGCGTTCCCTCCAGGCGTGCGGAACTACTACCGGCGTTTGGGCTACGTGCTGCGCAACTCGGTGGAGACAACGTGGACGACGTGAAGTAAGACATGGGAGTAACTAGTAGCATTCTTGTTCCTAGTATATAGTAACAAGTGCATCGCTAGTAGCAACAAGAGCCTTACTAGTAGTAACAAGAAGCTAGTAGAAACAATAAACTAGTAGCATTCTTGTTCCTAGTAGTAAGGCCAGGAGCCCCTAGCAGCGTCCTTGCTCCTAGTAGCGATGCCAGGAGCCCCGAGCATTCCTGTTCTTGGATGGGAGTGGATGGGACTGGAAAGTTCTTCCGTGTGCAAACATGGCCACGGGAGTAATTAGTCACCTGGTCCTTCAATGTGTTTGGCATGGTGGTTATCCCTGAAAAGCTTGGAAATAAAGATACCAGAACCATTTTCCTTTTGGGCCGACCGTTGTTTCTTGGGCAGACATCTTTGCCTATTATGGGCAAAGGTGTGTTTGTCCATGCTTAGGCGTTCTTGGCCCCTATAGACCTTCTTGTCCCCCCTTGGCGTTCTTGTCCGTTTGGTGGCAACATGTGGCAACAATTGTGTCTCGGCGACTTTAACCCTCGAAGCTGCAGCTTAGGCGTTCTCACAGTAAATACGGGCAGAATGTTCAGCCTAACAAAAAGTATCAGCCTAGTCTATAGGCCGACATTAGGGCCGCAGTGTGTTTTCTAAAGCCCTGCCAGGTAGTCGTTGGTCATCGAAACGATTGAATGGCCCTTCTCCGCCGAGATCGACATGGCCCGACACTGTCCATGTGGTGTGTCCAACCGTGATGTCGCTTCCACCTCCCGATCGTGTGAAGTCACCGAGGCCCGAAAGAATTGTTAACTGTTAATTTAGACTCGTGATGTCGACTGTAGAAGAGTGAAGTCCATTCTGAAATCATCCAGTCTGCTCATGGAATCCTAACAGAATGGTTTTGGAGCCTGGTGACCTAGTGAAATCATCCCTTCGGCTTATGCAATTCCACCGGACCCGGCCCAGGTGGAGACGGTCAGTATTTGATCAAGGACAGGCTGAAGCATTTCGGAGGAACTTTTTGCTTGCACCTACAAGCCAGAAAGTCCAACACTGTTTTGGAAGGTTTAGGATATTTGCCTTTAATTTTGTCTTCAGGATTAATGATTACTTGGTAGTCTTGGCTGGTTTTTCTTCCAGTCAGCAGTCTGCGTATTCCACGCATGGTTATGCTCTTCTCTTCAAAATTGTTGTGTTGCGGGATTGCTTTCCAGCATTTTCCCGCCATTGCGTGGCACTTTCCCGCCAGCTTCTGGAAGATTCCAGAAGCACAGAGTGACCTAGAAGAGTTGAGTGGATGGCCACCCCTTCAGGTCATATTGAAGGGTGATGGCATGTGCACACGCACGCGCGAGGTCTTCATCATGTGACCAGCGTTTTGGGGTGACAAACTCTGGGATCCATCGGCCAACTGGGCTGTTGGGCGCCCTGCACTCGGCCTCGTGGGCCTGTGGGTCCGGTGTCTTTGGACAATCGGATCGGGTTGGTTGTGACATGTTGTGACTCTCCAAACTGTTAAGACATGTTAAGACTTAAGTCTCAAGACCCTTTCTTATTGTAGAAAAACAGGTTCCCACAGGGGCTTGTTTGAACCCCCTATCGAAGAGAGTGTTCATGGATAGTTTGTGTTTTTTCCTTCCGTGAAGACTTGTGCCTTCAGGACCTACCTCCATGCCCTCTCGCCGAGCGAGGGAAGCCGCCCAAGGCTTTTGAAAGCTCCTTCATCGAGGAGCGCGAATTGAAGCGTGGGAGAACTTGCATGGATCTGTGGGGAGGTCAACCGCGGACCGGATCGCGGTCTTTTGGTCCCTCACACAGCGGATCCATCCCCAGTTCCGCGAAGGAATTGGCGCCCGCATCAGGCTCTGAGAATCCATTGCGGAGTATTTTGGTTTACACTACACACAAACCCTCGAGAAGAACCTGGGTATTTTGAATTCTTTGCTCCTTCTGCTTTGTGGAATCAACCTGTACATGAATCAACTGCTTTATTGTCAAAAGCAGGATAGATGGCCAACAGCACTGCTAAGCCTGTCATACTCATAGCTTGTTTGTCTATATATAAATATATATAATATATACTATAATATATATATATAATATACATATAGTATAATATATATATGTTCTCTCACACGATGTCGAAGAGACGGTGTACCAAACCTCCGCAATGCTCCGTAATGTTGCCCGACCCGTTTCGTCCGGCTCCCCTTAGTCTTGCGCGTGGAACGTTCCGAACTCGCCCTCGTTCGCCCGTGCGAGGCTGCGGAGCGTGTCCTGCAGCTGAGTTCCACACCAGCTCGAGGCGTTGGAAGCACTTTTCCCTGGCGTAACGGGCTGGTGAGAGAAGTGAGGTAGGGAAACATATGGCGGAAACATATTTGTTTTGATGAACATCGATTAACTTTCTGGACCCCGAGTCTAGATCAAGGCAAACGGACTAAACGGACTTTATTCATTTTCTGACATGCCTGTTACTTTTGACTGAAATTGCTTGATACATTGGTCAACCAAACCTTATAGGAAAACGACACCCTTTTTCTGAAAACAAGTGTTTTTGCATACAAGACACCAAACATCTAGTTGTTCAGTGGAAAACTTTGTTTCTCGTGTCCCTGCAATAGGTTTTGGATAGCCTTGATATATATATATATTATTTGTATATTACAATAATATATATATATATATTATGTATTATATTGCATTAGATCATATTCTGTGGGGCGTACACAATTTTGCCACTCAGCCACACCCCTGGGTTCACATACCAACGGGTTCTCTTCCACAGGATGACACTGACGAATTTTCTTCTACGAGCGAGGGTTTGCTTTGCACGAACGCCCGGTCGGAGCAGATGGCTTTTCACCTGCCGCAGAGCAAGGCGGATCGCTCCGCAGATCCGCCATCGAGGGTCCGGAGAATTCCGGGACTCTGGAGCTGGAAATTCTGATCTTTTGAGATTACCGAACCACTAAACAAGACACACATCCTGGAAGTGTCCCTCTCAGGCCGTTCCATGACCATGGGTTTGCTGGCGCTGCTGGGTGTATCTTGGACGTGTTGGTTTCATTGGCTTTTGGAGGATCGAAGGCAAAGGTGTCCCAGGGACTGGGACACCGGCATGGGGTGGATGTTCAACTAATCTCCTATGACGGGGTGATTGTTTGAAGGGAGTACTTGGAACATCCACACTACTTAGGAATCTCCATTGGACATCTATTGGATGGTCCAGGTAGATAGAATAAATCATGTTGCTCCTGGTAGTATGCGGCAGATGGTTGCTATGTGTCTTCCAGGTATGGAGCAAATGAGGGTGATGGTTTCTAGGCACCTGGCGAATGACTGTCTGAGCGCAGGGAGTTGAAGATCACCTCGACAAATTGGGAGGTGGGTCACCAGAGAGAAACGCACCTTCAAGCATCTCATCCGAAGACTCACTTGACTTCACAGGAGTGGCGAGAAGTTTGCGCCACAAGCCATTCGGAAGTCTCGATTCAAGGGCTTTGAGGGTTTTGTCACCAAACATGACCCAAAGAGACCAACGTGTGACGACGTGACCGCATGATCCACAGAGAATCGGGTCCTTTGCCAGGATACCCATGAAGTCTAAAGTAATGGGTCCTTTCATTTCACGTGTCTTTTGCACTTTGGTCATTTCATGGTTCCTCACGTTCTCCTCTTTTCTACAATATAATCGTGGTCTTCCTTTCTTTGCCTGCATTTCTTAAATTTGTTGCTTTGCAGATTGGTTGAGATGTGAAATCGACAAGTTTGTCGACACAAGCAAGATATTGAAACGTTCCCAGCACTTTTTCCTAGTGCACCTTCGACTGACAGCTTCAAGCAATTTCATGCCGTCTTCGTCTTGGATTGTATGTTGAAACCTCACGTTCAATCTGAGTTGACCACTGTTTGGTATCTCCTTCAATCCCTTTGAGGATTTGACATATCGATGTACCAGAACAGAGTGCAGAAAACAAAGGGTTATTGATGTTTGCACCGGCCGACGTTGCTGCACCACTGTGTTAAGAAATGCATGTTGTGGCGCGTGGCCGATACGCGAAGCAAACAGCATGCAACTGGCTTGAATGTAAAAATTGTGTAGAGTGGCAACAATTAAAATCAACAACTTCCTCTTCCCAAATGGAAAGCTGTTGGGAACATGTTTTCCCCGAGACTCGATTCTGCAGCCTCCTGGACTTCCTGGGTATAGCTTTCCTTCTGTGTGTTTTAGGGGATTTTGAGGGGCATTCTGCACGCCCACAAAGCGAATGAGCCCCAAGCAACCCCTAAGATTGAGATGTCTACGGACTCATGACAAGCACTGAATCCTCCCAATTTCAGCATAGCCACACCAGTGACGAGATGTTTCAACAAGACCTGCGGGCGATAGATAGACGCGCAATATGTTTGAGAACATTTTGGGACCGTTGGGACCTGCATTGGATATGTGGTTTCGAAATCGTGAATGTTGTATATGTTGTTAAGGTTGTTTCAAGATGGTCAACATATCCAACAATATCCAAATCATTCCAAATTCCAAATCATATCCAATTAAAAAACCCTTATGCCAACACGCTGCTTGACTCCACTTGGATTGAGAGATCAACCTCTCCACCACTCCCAATCCCCCGGGCGCCCGAGGCCTCGGCAGCTTCGCTGCTCTTGTTGAGGCGGTCGCGGTCGTGTCATCGGACGGTTGCCTTCACCAGCGACGGGCTTGGTCTACTATATCATAAGGGAGGGAAAGCAGCAAGACTGGACACACAACTTCATTGGTTGGGAAGTGGAACATACTGTAGTTTTTATGTACTGTATGAGTTTGTATGAGTTGTTAGTTTTGTTTGCTGGGTATTGTCGCTACCGAGCAGGCTGTGGTCCGAGGTTTTATAGGCGTAGACCTTGCAGAGAGGTGCTGGTTTTAGCACAGCCAGCATGCACAGTTGATGGTGTGATGGTGACCCGAATTTGTGGACACTTTATCATAACATTATATATAATACATTTTTGTTGTGA